ACAGAGGTCCCGATGCAGCGGGAAAGTTCCTAGAATATCTACAAAATGAAGAGAGAATAATCAGGGAAAAATTATCGTGTAAGATACCCATGCGTATGACGAGGGATGATTGGAGGGCCCATAAGAAGTCAACGAGTTGTCACGTTTGTAATAAACCCCTGGATGGGGATTCCGTAAGAGATCATTGTCACGTCACGGGTAATTATCGGGGAGCCGCTCATAACGAGTGTAACTTGAAACTAAAAATGAATGCTCAAACAATACCCATCCCCGTTGTGTTTCATAACCTTAGGGGATACGATTCACATCTCATTATGCAAGCTATCTCGAAGACCGACGGCGGTTTAACGTGCATTCCTAACAATATGGAAAAATACATATCGTTCTCGTTGACTAAACCTATACATTATAGGGACAAGGATGGGAAATCTAGAACAAAGCAAAGTAATGGGCTTAGATTCATAGACTCCGTACAGTTTCTGTTATCTTCCCTGGACAATTTAGCTAATGCGAACAATCCCGATGACTTCGCGATAACAAATAAATATACCGATAAGATAACTCGTCATTTGTTGCTGAGAAAAGGTGTATATCCTTACGAATATATGGATGATTGGTCTAGATTCGAAGAAACTGAATTACCACCCCTCGAATCATTCTATAGTAACTTAACAGAATCTAGAATAACAGATGCCGATTATGAACACGCTCTGACGGTGTGGGATAAATTAGGTTGTAAGAATTTAGGTGATTATCACGATCTGTACTTAAAAACCGATGTACTGTTACTCGCCGATATATTCGAGATATTTAGAAAGACGTGTTTCAAACAATACGGCTTGGACCCGGCATGGTACTATTCCAGTCCCGGACTATCGTGGGATGCATTGTTGAAGAAGACCGGCGTAGAACTAAAACTACTCACAGATTACGATATGCACTTGTTTATTGAGAAAGGATTAAGAGGTGGTATATCGATGGCAGCTAAAAGGTATTCTAAGGCTAATAATAAATTAGTGGAAGGATACGATCCCAGTAAACCCGACACCCACATATTATATCTCGACGCTAACAATTTGTACGGATGGGCTATGAGTCAACCTTTACCCAGGGTGGTTTTGAATGGGTCAATGATATTAATGTGAATGATATCCATAATATCGAAGTGAATAAAGGGTACATACTAGAAGTTGACTTGGAATATCCAAGTTCGTTACATAAAGACCATAACAGTTATCCGCTAGCTCCCGAAAGATTAATGGTTTATAAAGATTGGATGTCGGAATATCAACGCTCCTTGATGGGTAATAGTAGGTTAGCTAACGTAGAAAAACTCGTACCAAATTTGATGGATAAGACAAAATATATAGTTCACTACAGAAATCTCCAGTTGTATCTATCGTTAGGTATGAAACTTAAGAAAATACACAGAGTTCTAAAGTTCGATCAAAGCCCTTGGATGGAGCCCTATATAAGGTTGAACACAGATTTAAGAAAGATAGCTACCAGCGATTTTGAAAAGAATCTATATAAGCTCATGAATAACTCAGTATTTGGTAAAATTATGGAGAATCTAAGGAAGCGTGTTGATGTTAAATTAGTCAGATCTAATGAGGAAGAAAGACTCAGGAAACTTATAGCCAGTCCGGCTTTTAACAGAAGCAAGATATTCGATAACGACTTAGCCGCGTTACATATGCAGAAGAGTAATATAAAATTCAGCAGACCGGTGTACGTCGGTATGAGTATTCTCGACTTGTCAAAACACTTAATGTATGACTTTTATTACAACGAACTTAAGAAGCAATACGGTGATAGATGCGAGGTGTTATATACCGACACAGATTCTTTGTTGATGGAAATACAAACCGAGGATGTGTATAAAGATATGGCAGAAAAAATAGATATGTACGACACGAGCGATTACCCTAAAGATAATCCACTGCACAGCGTAGTAAATAAAAAGGTGTTAGGTAAGATGAAGGATGAATGTGCTGGGACCCCTATAGCGGAGTATGTGGGATTAAGACCTAAGATGTATTCTATAAAGAAGTCCGATAATGGAGAGATAAGAAAAGCAAAGGGCGTTAAGAAGTATGTTGTAAAAAAGCATATCAAACACGAACAGTATAAAGAATCATTATTTAACGGTAGAACGTTCAAACACGAGATGAACTCTTTAAGAAGTTACGATCATAGGATATATGGATTAAGAATGAACAAGACATCATTATCCCCCTTAGATACAAAGAGATGGATTGATAATGATGGTGTAAATACCTATGCTTATGGTTATGGTGGTAATACCGTACCATCGGGAACTATGAACAACTCTTCTCGTACAAATGCCCTACCCGGTCCATCTTGAAGATAATAAAGAATAGGCTCTCCTTCTTTCGTAACCAATCGACTAATGTTATACGTCTTAAGGGACCATATGGGATCGGTTGCGCGACGTAGGCCTCCTTCGAGTTCACCGGCCTGGTATAAATATCTTACCCTTACTCTATCCGGAAGTTTTCGTTCTTTGCCTCTCCTCGGTGCTGAAGATTCGGAAGTCACGGATTTCATTTTAATAGCATCGGATGGTTTCTTCCCTATTAATCTCGTTACTTCATTATTCAGCGCTGATACAACGGCTGATAATCGTGTCACCCATTCGGTTGATCTCAATCGCTCGGATTTCATTTCGATCCCATACTGATAGCCAAACAAACGTTCCGCTAATGTCCTGTTAAATCTTTCGACGATAGCTTGACTGCGGTGGGCCTCTCTTTCACCACGGACGATTTCGACATCGTTCTTTGTTAACAGTTTAGTTACCGATCCCATAAACTCGCGACCGGGATCTACTTGAAATAGCTTAGGCCATTTTAGCGGTCCGCGTTTATATATGCGACTCAGTGCATTAGCTACCTCTGTTGATTCTTTCGAGGTTAATGGCTCAGCCTCTTTGTATCGACTAGCCACATCCACTACGGTTAAAGCGTATTTGTACGTTTTGCGTTTTACCTTATCGTGGGGAAGAAACAAGAGGTCAGCCTGATGAACTTCATTAGTTGTAAAATTATCAAACTTCTTCCTCGGTATATAACGCGGTGCCGGTAAATATATTTGCCACATCGCTTGTTTCTTTAACCAATCCTTGGCCACATCTTTAGATACCTTAGCTGTGGTGGCTAATTTTTTTATTGCTCCTACACCTTTCCAATATCCTCGTGGGCTATAGTAAATTTTATCCATTATTAATTAATATTGATATTTCTTTTAAAACGACTTTCGTTGAATCACATCACTAATAGAAGCAATGATTGGCCCCAGGTATTGGTGAGCTAGAGCCAATCTCATGACTATCATTAAATCGCATCATCATTTTGGCATAAAAAATTCCATCTGTAGTAGCAGTATAGGTATATAAATCCTGCTCCAGTGGAGTTGCGGCAGAACCATCATTACCTATACTACTACGTATGTTATACAATGTTTTAAGCAAAGTAGTAAAGACATAGCGATTCAGAATTGGCATGCTCAAATTATTTCTTCATAATTTCTAAACCATTATTCTACATATAAGTCTGTACTCGAACCAGAGAAATAAATTATGGCGTAATGTCCAAACAAGGATCTTATCCGCAGTTTATTTAAATTCCGATGTTTGAGCCATAAGTTGAGTATTCAACACTTTCGTTACAATGACAAAGTCAATATTGATTTACTTAAGTGCCTGAAATGTAATCATAATATAATTGAAGATGAATAGCATTTCCTTTTAGTTTGTCCATTTTATATGGAAAACAGAAAGCTCTATATCCCAAGCTTCTATTACCAGTATCCATCATGAGCAAAATTTAATCAACAAGTGGCAACAAAAAATGTTTAATTTCTTCTTCTTCTTTCTTCTTCTACTCCACTCTACATAGGACTTTGTGTATGTAAATTACATAGCATTTTCAAGCTCAAGTCGTACGTTTGCTAAATGCTACTTGGAGAATGAAGAGCATGAAAGAAACATGACCACTGGACTACTAACGTGCGCATGCACCTTGACCTTATGATATTACGCATGCGCACGGACAGCGTCTAAAACGCGAGAGCACAAGAACGCGAGATCGCCAGAAAATGAAACGTTCAATCATGTCCAAATGTCGCATTCTCGCGTTGTCGACTTTTGAGTAAAATGCTTCATATATCAAAAACACTGGAGCCCACCACATTACAAATTCAAAGAAATGTAGTCAACTTTCCGTCATTCAATTTCCAAGAAGCGTGTGCGTGTGGAAGTGTTTCAACGATTTATCAATCAAACAAGCCTGGTTCTCATTGTTGACCTGCATGTCAGCGAAGTGTACTAATCCTATTGGTTGACTGGTGTAACTGTATGCAAAGTAGATTGCCAGTCTCGGACACTGGCAAAATATTAACCAATGAAATATCTTAACATGAGCACATCATTACATTCTCGTGAAACTTGACCCAGTTCATTTTGTGTGCTCAACGTGTCCACGTACATGCTTGAAAACGTATAATACTCGCCCGACATCTAAACCTCACTTGGCACGGGCGTCGGCCCCTCTGTTGATAAGGCGTTTTCCAAGCTCCGTGCACAGCCCTTAAAATGTATGTTTTAGGTGCTAAAATATAGGTATATCTGGACAGTTTAACAGATAATTCACTCACCTACTTCATATTGCTATTGCTATTGTTGAAAGTCCTATCGTGATACTATTGCTAAATGAATCCACAGTTTAATAAATTGTTGCATCCCTATAGCAGGCGAAATAGTCGGATGTCAATGTCATAATGACATTCTTTACAACACCTAACGGGGACACGGGTATGGGTATGGTGTGTATGACCCAACAGTTAGATATACAACACCCTCCACAAGCTTTAGGTCGCATGACACATGTTACGACTGCTGATAAATCTTGAGGATAACTGTGTAATAAAATATTTAACAGATGTGGCTGCTGATGATCTGACATACAATATCCACGTACCTCAAGATCAACGTTAGTCCGACTCAGGTAATCTCCCCGCTGTGATGTGTGCTGCAAGTCACGCCCTGATCACGTGTATAAAGATGGCCAATCATAGTTCACATTGCTGATCTGGTCTACTTCCTTGTACACTAGCTGTTTCACTCAACATGTTATGCAGTCCTTTGTACCTCATATGCCGAGGTCCGGTGTTTTGTTATGTTTGTCATAGAACGTGTGTACATATGGGTTGCAAGATAAGATATATGCACACAGCAGTCACAAGTACCTAGATTGATGAGACAATAAAGCGACACACCCTTACACGACTGCACGATTGCAACTTATCATGAGCATGTGTTTATGAATCACTGTCAAATAGCAGTGATACCAGGGAACAGTAGTGATACCAGGGAATAGTAGTGATACCAGGGAATAGTAGTGATACCAGGAATAGTAATGATACCAGGGAATAGTAATGATACCAGGTAATAATAGTGATACCTGGGAATAGTAATGATACCAGGGAATAGTAGTGATACCAGGGAATACCAGGGAATAGCAGTGATACCAGGGAATAGTAGTGATACCAGGGAATAGTAGCGATACCAGGGAATAGTAGTGATACCAGGGAATAGTAGTGATACCAGGGAATAGTAGTGATACCAGGGAATAGTAATGATACCAGGGAATAGTAGTGATACCAGGGAATAGTAGTGATACCAGGGAATAGTAATGATACCAGGGAATAGTAGTGATACCAGGGAATAGTAATGATACCAGGGAATAGTAGTGGTACCAGGGAATAGTAGTGATACCAGGGAATAGTAATGATACCAGGGATAGTAGTGATACCAGGGAATAGTAGTGATACCAGGGAATAGTAGTTATACCAGGGAATAGTAATGATACCAGGGAATATAAGTGATACCAGGGATAGTAGTGATACCAGGGAATAGAAGTGATACCAGGGAATAGTAGTGATACCAGGGAATAGTAATAATACCAGGGAATAGTAGTGATACCAGGGAATACCAGGGAATAGTAGTGATACCAGGGAATAGTAATGATACCAGGGAATAGTAATGATACCAGGGAATAGTAGTGATACCAGGGAATAGTAGTGATACCAGGAAATATTAGTGATACCAGGGAATAGTAGTGATACCAGGGAATAGTAGTGATACCAGGGAATAGTAGTGATACCAGGGAATACCAGGGAATAGTAGTGATACCAGGGAATAGTAGTGATACCAGGGAATAGTAGTTTTACCAGGGAATAGTAATGATACCAGGGCATATTAGTGATACCAGGGATAGTAGTGATACCAGGGAATAGTAGTGATACCAGGGAATAGTAGTGATACCAGGGAATAGTAATAATACCAGGGAATATTAGTGATACCAGGGAATAGTAATGATACCAGGGAATAGTAGTGATACCAGGGAATAGTAGTGATACCAGGGAATACCAGGGAATAGTAGTGATACCAGGGAATATTAGTGATACCAGGGAATAGTAATGATACCAGGGAATAGTAGTGATACCAGGGAATAGTAGTGATACCAGGGAATAGTAGTGATACCAGGGAATACCAGGGAATAGTAGTGATACCAGGGAATAGTAGTGATACCAGGGAATAGTAGTGATACCAGGGAATAGTAATGATACCAGGGAATAGTAGTGGTACCAGGGAATAGTAGTGATACCAGGGAATAGTAATGATACCAGGGAATAGTAGTGATACCGGGGAATAGTAGTGATACCAGGGAATAGTAGTGATACCAGGAAATAGTAGTGATACCAGGGAATAGTAATGATACCAGGGAATAGTAGTGATACCAGGGAATAGTAGTGATACCAGGGAATAGTAGTGATACCAGGAAATAGTAGTGATACCAGGGAATAGTAATGATACCAGGGAATAGTAGTGATACCAGGGAATAGTAATGATACCAGGGAATAGTAGTGATACCAGGGAATAATAGTGATACCAGGCAATAGTAATGATACCAGGGAATAGTAGTGATACCAGGTAATAGTAGTGATACCAGGTAATAGTAGTGATGCCAGGCAATTGTAGTGATACAACTCATGTCCTAACAAATACCTTTGCGCTGTTTATTCTCCACCCGTCCGGAGAGGGAGTACAGGTGGTAATTAATGTATGGCGTCATGAAGTTCACCTCCCCAAACCGGATTCGGATACGTAAAGTAAAGTAAAACGTTATCTTTCTTAACCACGTTGATATTCGTACTTGAGTGACATCAGTGTCTCGCCATCAAACACAATTATCGAGGAACACGTCACATCAAATGGAAATATAGCCATTCATTTGGAAGGGATGAAAAGTTCATCCCATTAAAAGTTCTTTGTCGGCCTCAGAACTAATTTTACGCCTTGAGCCTTTGTTGGGGGTGGATCATGTATATGCTACCTATGCCTTTGTATTAAGGGTTCGCATCTGTCTAAAAGAAATGACGCTGTCAATAAGCCCCTTACTCTAGTGTTATAGCATTGTTATGTAATTGAATATACGGTAACGCTAGATCGCCATCAAAGTCAATTATCGAGGAACACGTCACAACATATGGAAATATGGTAATTTATTCGAATGGGATTAAAAGTTCATATGTTGTCTAAAACAGTTTTGACACTTAAGAAGATTCTAAAGTCTCGTCACAAACTTGTGATCTGTGAAATGCGTAATAAGCCTAGGCCAACCACAACATTGTCACAGCTTGTATTTGATAACACACATAACATAGTGCAGTTGGGACTTTCTAATAACAGTTGTCCAAATCATACTTTGTAAATGTTTAGTGTAATCTATGTGGCAATAGCTTTTACTAGTAATATGCGTAAAATAAGTAACAATATCATGGACATAGCTAAGCCTTGTCACATCAAATTAGGACGTTTACGTTCACAATAGTGGCACAGAAGCCAATCAACAATTCGAATGTCAGCATGTATAAACATATTTATCAGAGATATTCTTTTTCTTTGTCGGCCTCATAACCAAATTTACGCCAAGATCCTTTGTTGGGGGTGGATCATATACATGCTACATATGCCTTTTTATTAGAGGTTGACATCTGCCTCAAATGATGCTGTCAATGAGCCCCTTGCCCTAGTGTAAAAATGTTGTTTGTACGTTGTTATGTAATTGAAAATACAGTAACGCTAGAAAAACGGGGGTTTGATAGATGATCCCATATTGATTAACGTACAAAGGTTATCCTGCATACATGAACCTTATATAATACTTGCTGAATATCAAATATACATTCAGAAATGGCTGACATGACATGTGTTTGAAAGTGCCATTCATCGAAGTTTTCAGTGTTGTTTCAACTATTCCTCATTTCGACTGAAGAAATGTGTCTGTTTATTCCTCACTTTTATCAGGCTAAATATAGCTTGCTACAAATTGACAGACACAAAACAACATAACACATATTCGATGGCACATCAGTTCATCAGTTTTTATGTTTTATCAGTTGAGATTTCGCCAATGACAACGTAAGTAATTAAGGAACTGATTCTCTCTTCCTTGGATAAACAAAACATTAATACACCTATTTTGTTAATCTTCTGCAGGCAGCCATCTCTCTGTCAGAGTCATCCTCTTACAGTTACAGTCCATATGAACAAAGGTATCACCATGAACCTGTTTGCTTATATCTCAAACGTTTGAAATTAAAATGTCATAATGAGATTTAGATAAATTTCAAACTTTTGCACATATTTCACAAATGTGCTTCATTGCCCATTCAGGACGTTCATTTCATTACAATTCTGTTTGTAAGTTATGTAAACGTTTGTTTTATTTGAAATACTATTTATGCTTTGGCATCAGAAGGCATAACAAAGCAATTCCAACTTACTATCTATAAATGTCTATGCCATATGGGCATTGATGCAATACACATCCATTACAAATGCCACACGTTGGTGGTGTCGTTTGATATTGTTGATAAGTTTCTTTGGGGGTAAGGCATTAGGCACCAATTGTGCTCCCCTTCTTGCGAAACTGTTTCTTTATGCATATGCATAGTCAACGTTCATTTCATGTCGAGGGGCGGTCGGGTAGCCTAGTGGTTAAAGCGTTCGCTCGTCATGCCAAAGACCCGGGTTCGATTCCCGACATGGGTACAATGAATGAAGCTCATTTGTGGTGTCCCCCGTCGTGATATCGCTGGAATATTGCTAAAAGCGGCGTAAAACCATACTCACTCACTCACCTTTCATGTCGAGCAATATTCCAGCAGCTCAATCCTTTGTTGTCTACATTTCGCAACTTTTGAGATACAATCGAGCATGTTCGTTCTACCAAGATTTCAAAGAGCGTCATACGACTCTTGCTTAGAAGTTGTTTGATCGAGTTTACTCATTCAAGGCCTCAGCTTTCAAAAGGTTTTATGGTAGACATGTGGAAGAAATTTCCAGATTTGAGGCATCAGTGACAAAATTTATGTCCGATGTAATTCCCTATTTTGACTTGTACTATATGTTCCTATGTTTTTCAGGTGAACATTTGACTTGCCTTTGTATACGTACAATCGACTCTGCTTTATGCAGAGATTTCTGTTGGATATGGGAAGGCTTTTGTCGCTTTATTCACAATCAGGATGGATAAACATACCTGTCGGATTCGCTTTCTATGACTACAGAGAAGGAAAACCACCTTTAAACACAAGACTTAGTGAGGATAACAGCTATGATAGACCTGCCTGGAGTATAAAGTTGTGTTAAATGTGAACAACATAGCAGTATAGAATGGCCATGTGTTAACAACCCTAAGTGAGCAGTTTTCATTAAAAAAGATGCAGACAACATGTCAGGTAATGTGGGAAGTGGGCCCTGTGTGCCGTGTTATTTCTCCATTTCGGATAAAATGTGTAGAGTTGCATTCCTTAACTTTCACTCAGAACATGCAGGTCGAAAGTTCGAATCCACGACCTTCATTTCAACGAACATTAAGCTGATTATGAACTCAACACTTGGCGACGGTGGTCGTCGTAAAAGTTGATCTGACCTTGATCTTGTGGATGCATATAAAACAGATTTAACATTTCTTCTGCATCTTTTAAACTGATATAATAGCAAGAATAAATCTTCACACTTTAAGTGGCGGCGCCTAAACAAAATTTGATTTTAAACTAAGGTAAGTGTTGATAGAGACAAAATGGCTATTGGAAC